CCCCCAGAACCACAGGGCACAAGTTGGGCTGGGAAAACCTTTTATTTGGTTGCATGCAGCAGGGCAGGATCAGAGCCCTGCTGCCCTTTCAGCAGGGGGCAGAGACATAGGGCAGGGTGGGGAGGTCCTGAGAAGGGCAGTTCCAAGGATGGGGTGGGGGTTTGGAATGCTCTCCAAGCCACAGGGAGCCTAGTCTAGGTGGGTCCTTGAAAATCCCCACCCCACTCATCCTGTGCTCACACATCGTAGCTCTCAGAATCAGAGCCCAATCCTGCACCCACCTGCCCTGGGTTACCACACACAGGATTCCCGAAGTCTCCTGAAGAGCCCCACCCCATTTGGCTTCTGGGCTTCATTGCTGGTGAGGACAGTCCAGACCTGGCATGGACTCCACCCCACCCTGGGCCTGCCCATCTCGGACCAGGCCTGAGCCTCTGGGCCACAGCCACCTCTCTGAGTAGGTAGGCAAAGGGAGAGCTTGGGGGCAGCAGAGAATGGGACAGAGGACAGGCCAGCAGAGCCCTCCTTCCACTTCCAGATCTGCCTGAGCTACAGTCACCTTCCAGCATCCGCAGCCACAGGCTTGCCAGATGTCCTCCACACTGTCCCTGCTCCAAGGGCCCCCCAAAAAGACAGGGTGAAAGGCCCAGGAGGGGGAAGTAGAAATGCAGACTGAGGTTACCATCCGAGCTTGGAGACCCCCGTCAGAGGAGTGCGGGGAGGAGGAACCTGGGGGAACATCCTGTTCCTCCCTAACCTCAGGGGCCCCCTCTCTTAAAGGTACACCCAGCCCTCCCCCATCATTATTCAGGTCAAGCCCTCGGGCGGAGAGCTGTCCAGAGCATATGAAGGCTGCACCAACGGAGAGGCTCCCCAAAGGGGCGCCTGGGGGGCAAGGGTGAACTAGGAGGTCTGGGGAAGCCTCGCCCACCTCCCCTTCTCAAGCCCAGCCTTTCTCTGACAACAGTTTTACCAGTCAGGGTTCTGCGGATGGGGGCTCGGGGGCATCAGGGCAGCGGGGGGCCCGATGGTGATACTGCTGTTGGTGACCCTCGGGCCGTACCAGCCGGCCCAGTAGTGAGTGTCCACGCCGCCGTGCTGAAACCATATGTAGCGGACGCCAGGTGGGTAGTTGGAGAACGTGTGGGAGACCTGGGAAGGGGCAGGTAGAGGGAGGCAGAGAGGTCAGGGGAGCTGACCCTGAGGGTGGCGCTGCCTGAGAGGCAGGGGGGCAGGGAAGGGGCTGCTATCTTAGTGCTGGACCAGGAGCCAGCAGAACTCAGTTCTAGTTCTATCTCTGCGATCTGGGCAGACCACCTCCCCTTTCTATGCCTTCGTTTCCTCATCTGTAAAACGGAGTAAAATCCATAGGATTATCTAAGTGTGGCGCAGAGCAACTGAAGGAAATTTCACAGGCTGCCAAAGGATGTCCAATACAGTCATCACTGGGCACGTGTAGCTATTTAAGTTAAAATTAATTAAATTAGATAAATTAAAAACTCAGTTCCTCAGCCACACTAGGAACTGGCTCTTAATAAGTGTTTGAGAATCAGAGGTGGCTACTGGCAGCCACACCAGACAGGCAAACAGACCTGTTAACTGCAGGAAGTTTTACTGGAGAGCACTGGTCTAGATCCAGATTTGGTAAACTATGGCCTAGGGGCCCCCTGCCTGTTTTTGTAAATTAAGTTTTATTGTAACAAAGCCACGTTCACTTGCTGAAGCTGCCTTCTCAGCACAGCGGCAGAGTCGAATACTTGAGTTGTGACGGAGACAGCAGAACTTCCAAAGCCTGAAATGTTTCTGTCTGGCCTTTTAAGAAAACGTTTGCTGACCCCTGGTCTAGATAAGAGTGACAACCAATATTAGTAATTAGTAAGGCTCAACCTTTTTGAATGTGACTTTACCAGCGTCACTTCACTGAGGTCTTTCAGAGCTCAGAGCAGCCGAAGCCCAGGTGAGAAGCAGCAGAGCTGGGATTTGAACCCAGGCCTGTCTGGCTGTAGTCTCAGCCTTGGGCAATGAGCCCACTGCCTCCCTCCTGTCCCACACACCTCCCTCCACTTGGCATCGCTCTTCTGCTGGATCGTTGCTGGGTCTGGCTGGAAGGTTCCCAGAGGCGCATGCGCTGACGACAGGAGCTGAACGCACAGCTGGTACTTGGACCCGCAGTCTGGCCTTGCTGCGAACCTGCAGGCAGAGGGAGGGCCCATGAGGGCCTTGGAGAGGGGGGGCAGGGTAGGGGTGGGGTGCCTGAGTGGCAGGCCCCTCCCCAAACCCTCGCCCCAGGCACTCACCAGTCCTTGACCTTGATGTCCGGCCGTGTAGTGTCCATCAGCTCCTCCCAATACCCTTCGGCCTTGAGGTCCACCACCTGGGACTTGAGGCAGGTGCTGGGGGCGGGTGGAGGGTGGGAGGTGCTGGGGCTCACCACTGGGGCACTGGGAGGCTTGGACTGCACTCCCAGAGCAGGAGAGACCCCAGGGTGCAGTGACTTGGGCTTCCCCCTCACCCCGAGATCCCCTGATCTTGGATCTTACTAATAGGAAGTCACGAAGTATTTCTTGACCTGGTCATTGGGGAATTCCTTCCTCTGGTCTCTAGAAAGATCTTCCACCTTCCACTCATCGCCTCCATTCACATCCAGGCTCCAGAACTCAAATCCCTCTGGCAGGAAAGAAAGCACAGTTCACATCAAAGGGAAGCCCCTCAGTGGTCACCTTCTCCCAAGGGCCCCTTCCTCCCGGTTCTTCTCCCTGGATCCTAGCAGTTGCTCTCAAGCCCTGTGCCGTGGAATGTTGCAGATCAACAGTGCCTGCCTCGAAGTAGGTGCTTCCTGTGTCAGGCACATGGTAAGTAATTTCCACTGGGAATCCTGAGACATGTGATGATATGAATCCAGACCCCTCCTGTGATTCAGCATGCTCTGCTGCTGGCGAGATCTGGGGCTAGTCCTACCTCTACCAATACTGGGCTGTGTGACATTAGACAAGTTGCTTTCCCTCTCTGAGCCTTGGTTTTGTCCTCTAGAAATGGGTCAAGAATAGGGACTGGCAAACTCTCTGTAAAGGGCCAACATACTTTAGGTTTTGTGGGCTATATACTATCTCTATCACATAGTATTTTTTTTTAAATAACCCTTTAAAACAGTAAAATCTATTCTTAGCTCCTGGGATCAGGAGATCGAAGTTTGATTGCTGGTCAGCGCACATGCCCGGGTTGCAGGCTCGATCCCCAGTCGGGGGCATGCAGGAGGCAGCCGATCAATGACTCTCTCATCATTGACGTTTCTCTCTCTCTCTCTCTCCCTCTCCCTTCTTCTCTCCAAAATCAATAAAGATATATTTAAAAAAAAACAAAACACAAAACATGGCTGTTGGGGAGTCAAGTGAGGCGGGCATCTGAAAGCTCTAGAGAGCCTGGAGTTGTCATTTTGCTCCAGAATTTGTCCAAATAACAGAGCATGAGGCTCCCATCCCACCCCATCCCAGTGTCTAGCTGACGAGTTACAGCAAGGGAACAAGGGAGCTATGGATGACTGTAGAAGTCTTGTTGAAATGTGATGGAAAGGAGACAGGATCTCTCATTCTTCCATAAGCAAAGCCCCCTCTGACCTCTGGGACTGTCCTAGTAGGCCTAGCCCTGGAGTCTGGAACTAGGCCAACAAAACCTAGCTGACTTCCTGGTCTTGTGCCTGGGGCAGAATTAGTCCTAACTGCCCAACATTCCCTCTCCTAGGAAAGGTCACCAGGGCACTCATCTTAGGGGCTGAGGAAGAAATGCCACTCTTGGCCTCAGTCTGCTTATCTGAGAAATGGATACACTTACCAGTACCTATCTTTTAGAATTATTGTGAGAGGATTAAAGCTGTTAAGCCATTCAAAGTACCTAGCTCATAGTAAGTGCTTAATAAATGTTAGCTGGTATCCTGACAGCGAGTGTGTCGGGGGCACCTCTGCACCCCACCTTCAGCACACGGGTTGTGTAGGAGGTTCCTGTGGAGGCTTCGTAGGAAGTAGAAGATCTTCCAGTCGGCCACAGGCTGGTCCCAGTCCTCAGTGATGAAGCCCTCACGCAGGCATTTGCGCTTCCAGAGGGTCACCAGGTCTATGAGGTCGCGCCAGAGGGTGCAGACCAAGCGGCAGCGCAGCAGCAGCTGGCGGGCGGGCACGTGTGTGAACAGCTCCAGCAGGATGTTCTCAGGCAGCTCGTTGATGTTGCCCACCGCCATGTCTCCCCGCTCCTGGCCACTCTCCTGTGGGCATTGAAAAGCTAGGCTACAGACCGGGCCCTGTCCCGGGACCTGGTATTCGCAGCACCCCATGGTGGTGGAGGTTCCCATCCCAGGTCTGTCCTTTACTGTCAGGAAAGTCACTGTGCCTCTCTGAGCCTCAGCGTCCTCCTCTGTAAAATGGGGCCAGGGAGAGCACTTACCACCTACCGGGCAGGGTTCAAGGAGCTTGTGACACAGCAGAAGCTCAGGAAAACGTGAGCTCTGTGTCTTTTTAAATTTTTTTTTTTCCTGGTACCTCACAACAGCCTCTAAAGGAGGCTACAGAGGTCCGCGGAGAGGTGGCTGGATCTGCCCAAAGTCACACGGACAGGAGCCCGAGTCTCCTCTGCTTCTCGAGTCAGCCCTTTTCCAACAGGCCAGACGGTGTCCGGAGTGGAAACAGCAACGCGCTCCAGCCAGGCCGGTGCCTTGTCCCTTCTCTCCCGAAAAGGGGGATGCTGGGGGCCGGGATAATTATTGTCTCCCACCGAGGTCCAAAGGGCTCAAGTGACTTTCTCAAGACCGATGTGGAAATGACCTGCCCAGCTGGGCCTGGCGCTGGGGTGCGAGCAGGAAAGGCCTTCCCCGTACCCGCACCCCGATTCCCGCGGCCGGGCTCCAGCTCCAGGTCCCCTAGCGGGACTCCGGCCTCCCATTCCCCGTCGTGACTTTAAAATGACCCCCAAAGTCAGGGCTCGGAGCCCTGCGCATCGACGGAGACCCCAGCCCGGCTTTCCGCTCGCACCGCCGCTAGAGACCTAGCCGCGCAGTCC